CTGTGGTCGCTGCTGCTGCGGCCACGATGACTGCGTTGCCTGCGCCGCCGCCAGCGATCGCCTCATAGGTGAGCGAGAGAGAATGCGCGCTTATTTATGCCTGTGTGTGAAGAGTTGTTGTTGTTGCTGTTGTTGTTGTTGTGCTCGCGTTACGTGGCGTTGCTTTGGTCTCGCCTGTGTACGTCACTCATCTGCCTGGGTGTCTGTGTGCGAGTGTGTGAGTGCGCGCCCCTTCCTGTGCCCACAGCACTCTGCTTGCTGATTAAATTACAGTTTGTTTTTTTTTTTTGTTTTTTCTTTTCTATTCTTTTCTTTCTTTCTACTTAGTTTGAAAAACAAAATTTCCTTTGCTGCCTCTGCTGTTATTTCGAAATTCTCCGATATTTTGCAACTCGTTCGGCTCGGGCGTTCGGCAGCAGCGCTTCGTATGCTCGTTCTAGCTGTCTGGCTGGCCTCCAAGACAGGTGCTGGCCGTATATGCGTTACGAAAACACCGTTGCCCATGGCTGCTCAGCATGTACAGTTGCAAAATCAGGCAGCTCGCAAACTATGCCGTCCCCCTCCCTCCCGCCTTCCTTGGCCCCTTTGGCCCTTGCCCGTGCTGCAGGCTGATGTCTGTCGTCGCCATTTGCGCAGCTGCCAAAGCCAACACTCACACACACACACACACACAGAGACTCACACCGACTCATATTTACATATTACGCATACAATTGTGGCCCAGGAGCGGCACAACAGATTGTTGTTTTGTTGTACTGACATTTTGTATAAACATTTGTTGTATGCAGTGAATTGTAGAATTTGTTGTTCCCTTTTTTTCATCTTCAGCTCAACACATGGGCAAATACAGTAAATATATACGAACAATTTTCAAGAATGCTACTTGATCTTACACATATATAAACGAGGATCTATGTATGTGTATGAAATGCTGTAAATTTGATCTCTTGTGGCATTATATACTGAGGGAACGTCTGCATGTCCGTGTGCGTTCGACATACTTCCAAATGCAATTTCTGGATCGAATTTATGATCGACTGATGCAGGATGATCAGCTGCTTCTGATTGGAAGCTAAGTGCAACAGATGTTAGGAATTAACATACAAGCTAACATTTATTAAATGCTAAAGTTATCATCAATGAATTTAACAGTTATGTTAACATATCTGTTAATCAGGCTACTGTTAAGACATGTAAAATACAGCAAGGAGTTTAACAGGTGCTTAACATGGCGCACTAACAGAAATGTAGCCTAAGGACATAACAGATATTTTGAGTAGTATAACAAATCTGTGTAAAAGACGCTGTTAATATAGTTAACATAGAGATAAACTGTAAATTTATAAGGGCAAATCAAATCAGATAACAAATTAATATTATATTGGACAATCATCAACAATTTTTCAACTGCATACTTTCATCTGTGTATATTCCATATATTCGCTTATTCAATTTAATAATTTCTCCCTTCGCTTCGATAATTTTTGCTGATTTTGCTGTTTGTCAATAAGCCAGAACATTTGTTAGCCGAATATCATTTGGTTCGAGTACAGTACAGCTTGGGCATAGAACATGAAACAACTATTTTAATTTGCATACAACAAAAATGAATGTGCAAAAGTCTGGCAAAAGAAATGGCAAGAAAAACAAACGAGCTAGGAAAAACAGTGCTCTTATGTGAAAACAAATAGAGGACTACAAGAAAAGCAAGCAAAGAAAAGTGTCGCCATTTTGATCAGTTTTGCTTCTTGTTCTTATTTTTTCGTATCGCCTAGTCTTTATGGGTGTTGAGCTCTTTGGTTAGTTGCACTGGGCTGAGACTGCTGCTGCGACTGTTGCTGCTGTTGCTGTTGCGCGATGATGAGTCTGATATTTTCACGCTTAATCACTAACTGTCCCCATGAGGCAGAGCCCCATTGGATGGGCGAACGTCTGAAGACACGAAACATTTTGGAACATGGCCAAAATACTTGACGCTGCAAGTGAAATGGCAGAACGTCGACCAAAATGCAAAATGCAAACTGCACCAAAATGTCAAGCGGCACACCAAAATGAGGGAACGAAACGATGCGAGAGGTGGCCGGCCAACAGGCTACATAAGAATCGAGCCAAAAGATGCGACACGGACTGACAGCAAGAAAATTGAAAGAACGACACAAGAAGAAGAAGAAGTAGAAGAGGAAGAGGCAGCAGACGAAGTGGGGGGACGGCAACCACAACAGAGGAAAGGGAAAAACTTTAATTTTCTTTTATTGCGGTCGTCGCGCACAATAATTGCGCGTAAACAGCAAATGAAAAAGGAGGAAGAGCAAGAGTTACATATACATGTGTTTGTATGTGTGTGTGTAAGTATGTGACACATGAAATACTCTCTCTTCATTCAACTTTGATACTAACTTTATTAGATCTATTAACAGATAACCTGTGCTTAATATAATAACTCTTTATATATCAATTTTTTGGTTTCTATATCTGAATCTATCTCCCTATATCGTTATCTGTATCTGTGTCTGTATTTATGTATCTGTATCTATGTATTTGTATCTGTATCTATGTATATGTATCTATGTATCTGTATCTGTATCTATGTTACTATGTGTCTGTATCTATGTATCTATATCTGTATCTATGTATCTGTATCTTTGTATCTGTATCTGTATATACATATGTATCTGCATCTATGTATGTGTATCTTTGCATCTGTATCAATGTATCTGTATCTGTATCTACATATGTATCTGCATCTATGTATGTGTTTCTTTGTATCTGTATCTATATATCTGTATCTATATATCTGTATCTCTATCTGTATCTGTATCTATGTTTCTATGTATCTATATCTGTATCTATGTATCTGTATCTTTGTATCTGTATCTGTATCTATATACCTGTATCTATATATCTGTATCTATGCATCTGTATCTATGTATTTGTATCTGTATCTATGTATCTATATCTGTTTCTATGTATCTTTATCTGCTTCTATGTATCTATGTATCTGTATCTATGCATCTGTATCTATGTATCTATCTCTATATGCACCAGTCATTTCTCAAACGCTCTATTGCCCTACAGACTTAACTCGCTCTATATTCTAATTCTATTCCCATAGCTAATAACTCCTGACGAATAACCATCCTTACAAACTGCCTCACCTAATGACAGTACTCTTAACTGGTAGAGCATAAAAGCATACTGAAAATATTCCGCTGAGATTGAGCAACAGCTACAGGTACAGTAAAGCTTGCACGCACGCATAAAAAAGAGAAGCGAAGTCCCCTCAGCAATTTCGAGTGTGTGCGTAAAACGCGTGCTTGAATTGCTGATGATACACACGCACATACATATACATACACACACACACGCACATACATACATACGCACGCACAATGAGAGCAAGTCACAGACGCATGAATATTTGATGATTTCCATAAAGAAAATACATTTCAAATAAAAATTGCCAGCAATGACGTTCAATAATTTTCTTCTCTTTTGTGCATGACGCACTTTCATTTTGGCCCACGTCTACAATATGCAAAATGAAAAACAAATATGGAAGAGCTCCGCAAGTAAATATGAAAATGCTTTACATAATTCAAGGCGAAAAACTAAGCAAGTGAAAAGTTTTGGCTAATCGTACGTTGACCTCTCGCTCTCTCTTTGGTTGAGCTCATTAAAGTCAACTTCGTAATGTTAATTAGTGTATGCATTTATTAGTATGTAATACGAATACGCTTCATACGCACACATATACTACGTTTTGTCGCATTTTCCTCACTGTTGCTAACGCATTGCTGCCTGCCCACTGTGTGTATGTGGCGAGGCGCAAAGCGACTCAAGAAAATTCTTGGCAAATGTTTTACGTTAATTGAACGCCAAGAAATACCAAAAAGCCAACATTGTGTGTGTGTGTGTGTGTGTGTATACATACATATATATATTATTCTTTTAGAATTCACGCACAATACATGCTCAGCTGTTGTTGTAGGTCTCAACTGCTGCTGATTTGACTTTATATGTATGTGTATACACAAACACACACACACGCACTTGGTCTGCTTTGGCCTATACTGTGTAAATTAGCCCAATTAACCCAACTTATCATAGAGAGTCTCCTACTCTCTCTGTCTCTCTTTCTCTCTATCTTTCTCTTTCTCTGTTGGCAACATTTTGCCTTGTTTTTTAATTATTTCATATAACTTTAAAGTGTATTTTTTGTATGTTGCAGAAATCTGTGCATAAGGATCAGATAGAAATAAAACATATGAAATGAAACATTTATATATAAATATATTTTTTTAAATTACCAAAAAGTCCAGTCAAAAAATCAAATCGTCTCTTTAAACTTTAACTTACACTGCTCGGCCATTATTTTTTTAAAGCTTCTTTTATCTTCATTTTATTGAGATTCTTTGGGTCAGAAATGTGCATAAAAACTAACATTAAAACACTTTTTGAGTGGGTGTAAAATTGTTGTCGTATTTCACAGCAATTATTCATCAAAACTTTTGTCTCTTTAAATGACTTTTTTTATACTTAATATCTCAAATGCGAATGCTGCAGAAATTTTCATAGCTCATATTATGTTCTCAACAGTTTTTATTAATTATTTAACTATTGTTTAATATATCACTGTGTGTGTGGAATTTAATATATGAAGAAATATATCTTAAGTTTCTGTTATAGTTAAATATAATTTCTATCAATGCAGTTGACAATTTAAGATATTAATGCAACCTCTCTTAAATTTCATTCAATATACCCTGTATACAATCATTTCTAATGAATTTAAGGCCTAAAAAACAAAATTAATTGCTTTCAATTAAACGAATAAATAATGAATCAGCTCTACCAAAACATCAACAGAAAATAATTAAGTAATTTAATGAAATGAATACGGATTGATAAATATATTATATAATCAAACCAAACACTAAAGGCGTAATAAATGAATAATTGAATTAAATAACATATTAAAGGCAATTATTGTCGTAGCTCACCTGCCAAAATGCCGCCGTGTGAACAACATCAAAGAGTCCGAGTCGAAAATAAACTATAATCCAATCTTGTTTAATTACAGCTATATATAATTTTATATCTATTTAGATATTTCTATTATCCGTTGCTGTATATATGTATATGGCAAAATGAATGCGATCAAGCTTTCACTGGAGTTTGTGTACTTTTAGGCGTGCTTTATTTTTATCAACTATTTCCTGAATTTCCTGAAATTTCCATCAATTGACTCGGCGACGTCGGCGTGTTGTGTAACTGTAATCGAAATAAAATGACAAAAACATGAGTTTAAGCCAAGTTTGATATAGATTCAGCTATATGATATGGTTATCTTTATATATATATTATGTATTATATGTTGCTGTGCGTCATTCATTGCAAAATGTATTCCCTGTGCACATCTGAGCCAAAGTTATCAAATGTCTTTGCAGATGCAACAAGTTCGAGCTTCGCATTCCCCCCAAAGACCACAAAACTTTTCGTACAGCATTTCAGTTTCAGTATTTTGTGCTTGTTGCGGTTGTTTATGCAAGCATTTGAATGGCATGTGGTAGAGTTAAGCATTATACCCTGTAAATGTGGTGGGCATATAAGAAGAATGAGTTGAGAAAAAATGTAAAAAAAAAATATATATATATATTAAAAAAAAAAAAAAATAATAATAATCAAAACTATATGGAAGTGATATGTGGTACATTATATATATAAGTATTTTTTTAGCAAAAGCTTTCCGTAATATTTTTTCAAAATATTTTTTAATATACCTGCTGAAACGATGTAGAGCCCAGTTTTATTATATTTTAAGAAGAATTTAACAGAGTTTAACAGAGTATAGATACCAATTTAAAGCCTAGCTCCCAAATTTATAAAAATATTCAACATTAACGAAAAACTAACCTGATGACGGGAGAGCCTATGTTTTATAATATTTTAAAAAAATATTTTAAAAATCCTTCAACATGATTATATTTATGGAATAATAAAGTACATATCTCAAGAGCCCAGTTTTATATATTTTTATTTTAATTTAATTAATTAGCCTTAATCATTTAAAAAATATTTGACATTAACGAAGAACTATCCTGATATCTTTTATAAATAATATTCTATCAGCAAGATTATATTTTTTGAATAATGAAGTAGCTCAATCTTTATCCTCAAATCGAATTCTAAGATCACTTTTCTTGAAGGGCTTTGCAAATATTATTTAGAAAATCTTCCTATATTCCAACTTAAAGTAAATTTCTTACTTTCATTTTAGCAATGAATCAAAGAAGCAACCATTTAAAGTTCGATTTAATTGAAAATCTTTTTCAGTATTTACAAAGCATTTACTTTGGGTATATACAACATTTGATGAGCTCTTCGCCCGATGCGGCCACTTTATTTGACTCCCTGGCACATTATGCTCTGTCAAGCATGGCATTTCTAGGGTATACATGAGTATGGAGTGCGCGTGCTGGTCTCAACGCCCACATGCCAGGCATTGCCGCTCGCCTCTATTCTGCGTGTGTGCATGAGTGTTATGAGTGTTGACTGTATGTGTGTGTGTGTGTATGAGTGCGGTTGTGTGTCAGGTGTGTGTGTGTGTGTGTGTGTATGATTGTGCGCATAGTATTTTGTGTGGGTGGCTAATGAAATGCTTCAACAGCAGCAGCGACAGCAATCGCATCCATCCAGAGCAGCAGCAGCAGCAGCAGCAACTACAACTACAAATACACCTACACACATACATAGGTGTGTATATATGTATATCATTGATCAGTGTTGCCCCCCTTTGTACACACATATATACATACATATATACATCTGTAACTGTAGCTATATATATGTATGTATGTATTGGTAGCTCTCAGTGCGTGTGTGTTGCCATGGCAGCTAGCTAGAGGAGCTTTTCCAGCGGGTCCCAATTGTCTGCAGCATTTTTTCCTTTTTCGACGAAGCGAGACAGATAGAGAGAGAGAGAGAGAGAGAGGGAGCGAGTGAGACACTGTGGAAGCTGGGCAAACAAACAAATGGACGCAGCCGAATTCAGGCAGCACAGTTGTCTATAATAAATTCTACATTTTTTTTTTCTTCATGCTGCTGCTGTCGTGTGTAGCCAAGCGCCCGCCCGTTGCCACACCCCCTTGCGTCTGACTGCCGCCTCTCCTTCCCTTTGGCTTTGGTCTTTGTCATGGTTTTTCGACATTTCTCTTCATTTTATTTTATTTTTTTTTTTTACTTTGCGTCTTCTTGTGGCGCTTTTCACTTGATTTTTATGACATGCCCTATACGTCGCACACAGACAAACAACTTTTCACACAGCATTACGCCCACCTATGTGCTGGCGGTGTTGGCAGAGGAAGCATATGAAAATCAAAATGGAAATGGAAATGAAAATGAAATTGTCGAATCGAATGGGGTGACAAGACAGCTCCCCCAGGTCCCCAGTCCACCCAAACCCCACTTAAATCATCCCAATTGTGGACTGAGGGACGTCTAGCAATTAATGAATAAGTTAACAAATATTTCGTAAGTCTCTTTCAGCATTTTGTTGCATAGTGTTGTTGTGCCTGCCTGGTATTTTTTTTACATGTATATGTTTCCCCAGTGTGTATATGGAAATTTGGTTTTTCAATGGAATAAGCTAACACAAATTTTTCGTCTAAATATTTTCCATAATAAACTCGTTGTACAACTTTGTTGCATTGAGTTCTTCTATAGAGAGCTGGACGTTATTTGATAAATATTTCAATATTCAATCGATCAAAAGAAAGTTTTTTTCTCAATAAAAATTTCCTATAATTTATAATAATAATTCAGAAATTCCCATACTTTGTTCCATGATCTTATTATTTTCTTAGTTGACATTTCTTTTCTAAACATATTTATAACTTTTATTAAAGTTGTCCGGTTTTTCATACATTATATCAAAATTTTGGAAACAACAGCGGAAGCTATACATAATATTATTTTTCGAGAATTTTATCTACCTTGGAAATATGAAATCAGGGTATAATTAGTTGGTCGAAGTGTATGTAAAAGGCCAGACCTTATAGGCGATTCGATCTAGTCCTCTTCATTGGCCTGTAAGTGTGAACTCTCCGATCTCAGAACTTATAAAAGCTAGAGATTTGTAATTTTTTCTTAAAAGTCTCTGTACAGCAATTGAAAAACTATCGGAATCGATAACTATTCCCGTTTTAGTATTATCGATTAAAAATAATTTAAAAATCAGCTATAATTGCTTTTATTTATTATTTTAGAACTATAACAGAGCCACAAGAACAAAGACCAGAAAGACCAGAATTTATATATACCGCATTGTTGTCAAAATCTCGTTGTACAGTGTTTTGTTTCTCTATTTTATATTTAACACAATTTTTTAAAATTTTTTACATATATATTTTTTTATGTTTGTTAAAGTGTTTGCTTCCCCATTTTTTATTAATTCTAATATTTTCCATAACAAACACGTGCTACATTTATGTTGCACAGTGTTGTTATTGCGGTTTTTTTTGTCTATTATTTATTTCATTTATGTATTTTCATTATTCTTTTTTTTTTTGCTGCCTTCTCGATAAATGGCGTCGTGTTTTGCGGGCTTTTCGTAATGCCTGGCATTTGGCCAAAGTCTACACAAATTTGCGTAAATAAACAACAAAACATTTTGTTGCAATTTTCAAAAAGAGTCGTTAATGCCCAGTCAAAATCTAGATGAGCAAAAAAAAAAAAAAACAACAACAAAAACAAGTTGCACGAAGTTTTGCAAGCAAAATAAAAAGCAAATAAAACAAGCAACAAAATGCGCAGCGAGTGCCAAAAAAAAAAAAAAAAAAAAAAAAAAAAAAAAGAGGGCACCACGAAAAGTCTACACGATATATGAATATGCCATATAGACGCTATATAGGCTAGCCGCACATGTCTAACTGCCTGCATTTTTTTGTTTTCCAAATTTTTGCTTTGTTTCTGTAGCGTATTAAATTTCAACGGAAGCGGAAACGCTTAGCGCATGCGATTGGCATGACAGACATGTCGTCTAAGCTCCACACACACACACACCCCTTACAATCCTAGGGTTAAGCAGCTAAAGCCAGCATCTGACCCCAGGCACTACTCAAGCAGGCAGACAATAATCTCAGTTTGTCTAGGGCAAGGCTATTCATAAATACTCTCAGATTGTAGAAGTGAGATGGAAAATATATATTGCGAAATATTTTGTTTATAAATTACAGCCAACGGGAAAATTATATATGTATATGCATGTATAATATACATTAAAATGAATGGAAATTTATGAGCATTCGAAAAACAAATTCACATAAACTTTTTGATATATTACACAAATAAAAACAATTTATACATAAACATTCCTGCTTGACATTTTTTAGATATAATTTTTATTTTTATTATTTTTTGTTTTTAATTTTTATTTTTATTATTTTTTTTTAATTTTATTTTGTTATGGTTTTTTTTTATTAATATTTTTTTTTTTTAGATTTGGTTCATATATAAACTTCTAGTTAATAGATACATATACATAGTGTAACTATGTGCTAATATGTATGTATATATATGTATATAGCTTCTAAATATCACAAATTAATTTAGGCAACAAAAAAGTCCAGCTTCATAGTTATACTAATAAATATATTTCTTTTAGATATCAATCTACCCGGCATTAGAGTAAATTGAAGCCATTTCTACCAAGTGTATATATATGTATATATATGTGTGTGTGTAGTGTATGAAAACATTTACAAATTGACAACAGCTTTCACACTTTCAATGTGTAAACACTTAAAACACATCAACCAAAAGCCGCCGCCAGCTCTAGAACAGTGACAATAGAGTGTGTGTGTGAGAGAGAGAGAGGGAGAGACAGAGCTCGGAATGTGTTAGACTTGAAGGATTAAATGGCTTCAAACTAAGAAGCTTTACAGCTTCCAATTGCGCCGCCAGCCATAGCACGATGCCAGTTGCGAGCACATTAAATAAAGTGTATAAAAACCTTCAGAGTATGTGGAATGGAAGGTAGGCTAAAATTAAATATCAATATTATCATGAATTTGCCTTGAAAAAGTAACTGTTCTTTCAAGGAAACGAAATTGCTTACAATATTCCATGGCAGTACATGTGCCGCCATCTAGCTTTCGTGGTGCGCAACCGATCGCAACGCTGCTGTCGCCATCTGTGCGCAACGATCATGTGGCGCGCCATCTGTTGGCCGGCAACATGCACTGGCAACATTTCATCCACGCTCCGCAACATTTCGGACATTGGGCACATATTTTGTTGTTGCTGCTGTTGTTGTTGTTCTTGTTGTTGGTGTGGACAAACAACAAAGAACAGATGTTTCGATTTATATTTTGGGAAATTTTATTGCTTTGACAGAATTTCACTTTTCAACACAGAAAAAACGCAAAAAGCATTTTGCTTCACTCATTTCATTTAGGGAAATTTTCAATGGATTCGATTTATTTGCACAATTTGTTGGTAATTTCGCTTTAAGGGCAATTATCACACACAGCTGAGACAATTTGGCGTCCTTCGGCGCGAAATTTTGCACACAATTGCTTCAGATTTGAATTTTATTAAATATTTATTTAATTTGTATTTAATTCAGAGAGGGAGAGAGCGAGCGAGCAAGAGTGAGAATGAGAATATGAGCGGACGATCACGACGCGTTGCACCGTTTTAATTTGTAGGAGGATCGGTTCGACTGCGGATTGAATTGGGATCGAAATGAAAAATATGTCTGTGCACGATATTTCCTACACTTCACTTTACTGGCGCAGAAAATCGCATATACAACGAGAATGTATAATTATAAATAAATGTTCTATAAAAAACGCTTTTTTGTTCGTTTGTTTCGCTCTTGCTTTGTTGTTGTTGTTGTTGCTGTCTCTCTGTGTGTTTGTGTATGTGTGTGTATGTGTGTGTGTGTTTCTTGTGTTTTTGAGCCATTTTAATTTTAGAGGTAACCCAAAATAAATAACCAACAATTCCGCAGAACGCGGCCAGCCATCACCTTTTCAACACAAATTGAACAGTACTGCAACAACAACAACAACAACAACAGCAACAACAACCACATTAAATTCAAATCCAAACAAACATTTGAGAATCCCTCAAATTGCAGCCCCGCCCACCGCCTCCTGCCTCGCCTGGCTTACATCTTCCTTCGGGCTCTCACAGCTAAACGTTTTTAAAGGCGTTTTAAATGGGCGGATTTTCGTGGAAAATTCGTTTTTTTTTTTTGCTTTCGCTCTTTTTTCTGTGGTAAGGCTTTGCTGCTTGACTTAGCCTCTAAGTCCCAAAAGCCAAAAATGATTGAAGAAGAAGCTGCAGCAGATGAAGTAAAAAAAAAAAAAATAGGTAAAGCCTTTTCCCGCACTAAATGTCTCTTAAAGAGTTCCTAATGCGATTTTGAAGCAAATGCATATAAGAAACAATTACGACTTTTTGGATATTTATAAAGATTTTGTTCGCTATGAGAATTTAGAATATTACAAAGTGAATGAGCTTTGTTTGGCAAGTAATTGGACCGCTTTGATTATGAAATTAATCTAAGATTTATTGCCTAAATTTGACTCGATAAATGTCGACATCTTAGATACCTTATAGCTCACATCAATTGCAAATGCTATAGAAACTATCGATAATTTCATGTGCTTAAGCTGCCTTTTTCTATCGAGAATCTCAATATGAAAAGTATCGCTTTTCAGCCTCTTTTGATATTTATCAGTGTATCGATAGCGATCATTAAATGTATATGAGTTATTAACGATATGCTACAACTAAGGCCCTCTCTTTTTCTATCTCTCCCTGTCTCTCTCTCTCTCTCTCTCTCTCTCTTTTTACAACACACGATATCAACTACTTCAAGTTCTTGCCTATCGACTATCGATAACCGAAACTACACACGCGTCTTGCACACGAAACGAGAATCGATTGCTTTTTACTCTTTTACCGTTTTTATCGAATGCGACGCGTTTGATTGCTCGGCTGATGCGCTAATAAAGCTCTTAATTCTGGCCGATCGCTCGAAATAAATTGAAAGGCCGACATACACACACACACACACGCACACACACTCTAGCGCATACACTGAAATATATTTTAAAATTAAAGCAATTTGTTGTTGTTGTTGTTCTTGTATTATTTTTGGTTTTTTCTTTGTTTTTGTTATTGTATAAGTATTTTGGTACGCAGTCTATGCCGCTCGCTGTGTGTGTGTGTGTGTGTGTATGTGTGTGTTGCCTATTACGATCTCCTTTAAGTGAAAAGTCAAAGGAAATCTGTTGCACTTGCACAATTTAAATCATAAATAAAAGTTTAAAAATTGCATTTTAATTTACTTGCGTCGCACTCTTTCTATAGACTTTCTTTGCCAAAGGAAAATAACAAATGATATGCATACGGCTGTGTGTGTGTGTGCTACGTATAATTTAAAATTAGCACGCAAGTGAAAAAAAAAGAAAATAAAAGAAAACATCAATATTTTTACATACATTTTGGTTCAATATGCACGATTTTCTATGGAAATTCCAACAAGGAGTTATTTTTAAACTAGCTAGCCGATGTCTGCCAGTTGCTCTTCCCTCTCTTTCTCTGTCTGTGTGTGGGAGTGTGTGTGGCAGATATTGTTAAGAATGCGTCTGTTTATTGTCAAAAATCCTTAGCGGCAGCGTCAAGTGTTGGGCGCAAATAGAACTTAGGTAAACTAAAGACATATCTCCCTCTCTTTTTGCATCTATCTCTATCTGTACCTATTGCATTGCCTCTCCCATATTTTTCTCTCGCTCTCTCTCTCTCTCTCTCTATATATATTTATTAATACATTCATATAGATAATACGGTTATATATACTTCCCTCTCCATATCTCTTGCAGTTCCTGTATCTACTTTCCTTTTATCATACTCTCCTCTCTTCTCTCTCTCATCTCTTTCTAGCCTTTCTCCAGCTTTCATTAAATCGACATCCGTCTTTCTCTCTCTCTCTCTCTCTCTCTCTCTCTCTCTCTCTCTCTCTCTCTCT